GCCATGCGGCGCTCAGAGAAAGAGCCGGGGCAGGCTGCCAATGAGCACTGGCTGCAAAGCCCCAGCGCCAGCCAGGGACCTGGGAAAGATCATTCACTCTTCCCTCCCTGCCTGGGACACACAGGGGCCCCTCAGGCTTCAGGGCCTGGGCCTGTCATGCCAAGGCCAGTCTAGTGCGCGCACAAAACACCCGAGTCTCTCACCATCTCCAAGCCGCTGTCAAGCCTCGCCAGGGAGGCACCGCGTGAAGAACAGTAGCTCTGGCTGGCGGTCCAATTCCTTTCATCCTCGGAGAAAAAGTAGCACTGTCTTTGGTAGCCAACCCAGCCATCCGGACATGATGGGACGTCCGCGTAATCCAAACACGGCCTAGTGGTTCTGACTGAAACGGGGAACATAACACAGGGTAAGAAGCTGTCCCCTCCTCGTCTCTGTATCCAAGGGGAATACGTAGAATAATCCCCTTAGACCAAGGCCTCAGAGAATCCCCTAAGCAGCTCTGGCAATTGCTTGGATGCAGTGGTGGGCCGTGATGTTTTCAGTACGGCAATTCCACACTCGCGTGCAGGACATTACCTCACCTTCCAAACATTTAACAAACGGGGGGGGGAAGGGGACGCCGAAGATGCTCCTCGCTTGGGACGCCGTTAGGTCTAGGGCCAGCCCTGGTCCAGCCCCCTTCCCATTTTTCAACCAGCATTAAAAAGGAAGTAGGAGGCAACTACAGGAGCTAAGACCCGGGAAGCTGTTTGGCTAAGCTTTCCCTAGTGCTGCAGCGCTAAGCTGGCTCCCCCAAACCTCAAGTCGCAAGGACGTCAGTTACGGCCTGGAAATGTGCACTCGAGCCAGCTCCAGATCCGAACAGAAAACACAGAGAGTGAATCCATAAGAGCTGCGCGCTCACCTGCCAGGGTAGCTGTGGTCGCGATTAAACCCGAGAGGACGAGGAAGACTGTGACTGCTGCGACGACTGTAAATGTTCTAGTTTTCCTGAATCTGTAACCTGAAAGAGACCGACATATTAACACTCCTGGGGCTGCTGCAGGGGGGAGGAATCTGAGTTATTTATTTACCGTGGCCCAGTGCAGAGTCAGAGGAGAGTTTGATACCCCTAGTCAAGCTGCAGGGTAGATCAGAATCCGGAGCTATCTTTGATCCGCCCTGCCGTGAATATGGGGTCACGAATTTCCTCCTGGGGTTTTCGACAGCCCTGATCACTGCAGTGACTCAGTGGGAGATTTAAAGAAGTGCCGATCAGAGACCTGCATGGAACAGGCCAACTTGCTCCCTGCCCAGCTGCGCTTTTGCTTTCGAGTCTCAGCAAAACAAACTGGGCTGTTCGGCCCTGAACCAGAGGGGGAGAGAACCAGGGCCATGGTCCCAAGCAGGGGTGCAGTTGTCAGGCCCACAAAATGCCCCTGTACCCCCGTTACACTACACAGCCATAAGCGCCCGGTTGCAGGGAAAATTTTAGCTGTAGCTGCAAAGCAAGCGGCGGTGCTCACAGGACGCCGACAGGGTGATCAGATCCCTGCTGCATTCGCAGGCAGGCGTTTGGGCTGCTGCACCCATGGAAAATATGGCTTCATCTGCATAAGCCGCAGTGTTTCTCCCAGGCAGAGGGGCTCCACCTACCTGGTTCCTTTCCTCGCTCTTGGTCTCCACTGCTATTAAGAGGCACGTCCAGCTGTTGTTCCTTACAGATCCCCAGGCCATTGTACATCTTTTGTCTTTTTGTCTCATTCTCTATAAAAAAAAAATCATAATTCTGCTTGAACCTGCTATAGTCCCAGTAACAATGAAGATGATGTAACTGAATGATTAGAGGGGGAAATTCTCTATGATGTGTTTCCTTTGTGCATTGGACAGCAGCTTGTGTTGTTATTATTTGTTATCTGCATTACATTAGTGTCCGGGCCCCTTTGTGCTCCACGCTCCACACACAAATAACTAAAAGCTGTTCTCTGCCCCAAAAAGTTTACAATCTAAGGGCAGGTCTACACTTAAAATGCTTAAGTATCAGAGGGGTAGCCGTGTTAGTCTGAATCTGTAAAAAGCAACAGAGAGTCCCGTGGCACCTTTAAGACTAACAGAAGTATTGTAGCATAAGCTTTCGTGGGTGAATGCCCACTTCATCAGACGCAAGTTGCACTGCTGTAGCAGTTTAATGAAGACGCTCTAAGCCAATGGGTGAGAGCTCTCCAGTCAGCCAATAGGATCCTTACTCCACCTCCCCGAGAGGCGGTAGATATGTTAACAGGAGCAGTTCTCCCGTTGACATAGCGCTGTTTACACCGGGGGTAGGTCGGTATAACTACATCACTCAGCAATGTAATTATACCAATCTACGGCTGTAGTGTAGAACTGACCTAAAGCCCCCAATCCTGCAAACACTTATGCCTATTTAACGTCACACACTGAGCAGTCTCACTGAAGCCAACGGAGCCACTCACAGCACACAAAGCTAAGCAGGTGCATTCATTTTGGCAGGATCAGAGCCCACCTATAAGACAGGAGCCAGCGGGTGAATCCAACAACGAGATGGGAGGAGCCCTGAACTGATTCTATGACTGTAACTAGTACATCGTCGGTTCCATCGGTTCCCCTGTATATTCAGTCAAGTTCCTGTTTTGTTTCATGTGTGTCTTTCACTCAACAAAAAGGGAGCGAAAAACCAGCTAATGACAAAAAGACATTTGATTGTAAAAAAACCTGGCAGGGAGACTCCGGGTTAAGTGCAGAAAACCGCGGCTGATTTTATCTTATTTATTAAAACTGATTTGGTTTCAGGATGACTGTATCTAGGGAACCTTAAGTTTTTCACCCTTCCAGATTTGTTTCATACCAGACAATACGTTGCTGCCAGGGGCCAAGATCGGGAATTGCAGGGGGTAATGTCAGTTATGGGGAAGTGAAGGGATCACCCTAAAACAGTGTTTCTCAGCCTGGGGGTTGCGAGCCCCAGGGGGGGTCACGGGCAGAGCCATCCCTTGGGTAGGGCGAATTGGGGCAACCGCTCCGGACCCCATGCTTTGGGGGCTCCGTGGGCTGGTGCAATTGGCCAGCACGGTCGGTCCCAGAAGGTGAATCTGTCACTTCCACAGGGCCCACCATCTTGTTGGCAGTTAGTGGAGACAGCGCCCGGCTCAGCCGCCCGTGTTTTGATGCAGTGAGTCCCGCCCCCGGCCGGAGCCCTGAGCCACCGTGGCGCTATGGCCAACAACAGCGCCACGGTAGGCGCCGGCATTACCAGCAGCAGCAGGCGGCCCAGCACCAGGCCGGATCCATCCCACCGGCCCAGCCACCAATGCACAGGGTGACTAGATAGCAACTGTGAAAAAACGGGACAGGGGGTGGGGGGTAATAGGCGCCTATATAAGAAAAAGTCCCAAAAAACGGGCCTGTCCCTTTAAAAATGGGACATCTGGTCACCCTACCAATGCAGAGCAGGGCCCCTAAGCCGGTGAGGGTTGATTTGTCCCAGCCTCTGCACCGCCCTAGGGACGGCCCTGGTCGCGGGATGGGCTTAGGAGGTCACAGGTGCAGGGTCAGTGTTAGGGGGTAGCACGCTGGGCAATTGCCCATGGCCCCCTCCACAAGGGGGCCCCACGAAACTAAGTTACATGCTTCCACCCTGGGCGGTGGGGCTCAGGGCTGAAGCCGAAGGCCGAGCCCCACTGCCCAGGCCAGAAGCATGTAACTTAACTTCATGGGGCCCTGGGCAATGGCCCTGCTTGCCACCCCTAATGCCAGCCCTGAGTCGTATTCATAATTTACTTAATGATATTTAAGGGAGGGGGTCACCATTTTTCCAAGTCTTAATTTAAGGGAGAGGGTCACCATTTTATTTTAAGTCCAAAGGGCGTCACCAATACAAAAAGGCTGAGAAACACTCCCCTAAAGCAAAGATCATTCAATAGCAGTACGTGTTTCAAAATACTTTCACTTTTACTACTGATCTGAATCGCAAGCGATGCAAGGGGTCCCTCCCCCGCCCCCTGGTCTTCTCTTCGGTCTGAAACTGGTCGCAGTCCCCAAAAGAGGCTCAGTTTAGTAACCAGACCTGGCTCATTCCTATTCTTGGTGTCAATACTGCCTAGTACACCTGTGTGCGCTTAGATCATCCCCTCCCCCAACCCCTGTCTCTCCCTGCCCCTCCCCCAACCCCTGTCTCTCCCCTCTCTGTCCCTTCCCGCCCCTCAGCTAAATCACCCCTAGGCTTTGGAATATGATTCAAATCCCCCTCTCCCCACTCCCTAAATAATGACCAAGTATCAGAAACGGGCGCCTGCTCCCCACTTTGCCCTGATCCCGGAGAAGTGAACTCACCGAGTCCGGGGACTGAAAGAGAAAGAACATTGTGGGTACTGAACTATATGTGGGGAAACTCCACCCTTGTGCCGGCGTATGGCCAAAAAAGCAGCAGCAGTGGGTGGAGTGGGAGTTGCCTGCTGGGGAGGGGAGACAGACATCAATGTTACTTGTGGGGAGAAAGGGACAGCAGTGGAGTGAAGCGCAAAGCTGGTGCTGTGAGTAGGGAACTGGCCGGACACCTGGATTAGGGTCCCAGCTCTGTCCCAGACTCCCTGTGTGACCATTAGCCCTCTATAAGGACAACAGCCCTGCCCTGCCTTGCAGGGTAAATACAATAAAGATTGCGAGATGCCGACAGTGGCAAGAAAAGTACTATAGATGGAGAACTGTGTGGAGGATCAGGGGTTGTCTAAGAAGGAATGTTGTGACACAGTCTCATCCTTACTTGTTGGGAACAACGCAGTTCAGTGAGGAAACCTAATGGGGGACAAGCAATTTTCAATTCTCTGTTCCAAAAACACCAACACAAATCCTGCATCAGGGCAAAATCAGGAGCGACGGCAGATGCAGAGCGCATGCTTATCACAGAGCACCGAGGCCCTGGCTGAGATCAGGGCATCACTGTGGAAGGTGCTGAGGTCGTGCAAAGCGAGAGGCGCTCTCTTCTCCAAAGAGCTTACAGTCCAAACACAACATCGTCTCTTGGCAATAACTGCAAGTAGCAGATCCCCTCGTAGATTCCAAAGCCAGGAGGGACCATTGTAATCATCTAGTCTGACCTCTTGGATAACGCAGGCCAAAGACCTGCTCCGAAAATAATCCCTAGAGCCGAGCTTTTAGAACAACATCCAATCTGGATTTAAAAACTGTCAGTGATGGAGACGCCCACAGGACCCTTGGTAAATTGTTCCAGTGGTTAATTACGCTCACTGTTAACAAATGTCCTGTTATTTCCAGTCTAAATTTGTCTAGCCTCAACTTCCAGCCATTGGATCATGTCACACCTTTCCCTGCTCAATTGAAGAGCCCATTGTTATATATTTATTCCCCATGTAGGTACTGATAGACTGTAATCAAGTCACCCCTTAACCTTCCCTTTGTTAAGCTAAATAGATTGAGCTCTTCTATAAGGCAGGTTTTTGAATCCTTCAGTGATTCTCATGGTTCTCTGAACCTTCTCCAATTTATAAACAACCTCCCTCAATTGTGGGCACCAGAACTGGACACAGGACTCCTGCAGCGGTCACACCACTGCCGAACACAGAGGTAAAATAATCTTCTGCTCCTACTCGAGATTCCCCTGTTTATATCTCCCAGGATCATAGAATCATAGAATATCAGGGTTGGAAGGGACCTCAGGAGGTTCTAGTCCAACCCACTGCTCAAAGCAGGACCAATCCCCAACTAAATCATCCCAGCCAGGGCTTTGTCAAGCCAGGCCTTAAAAACCCTTAAGGAAGGAGATTCCACCACCTCCCTAGGTAACCCATTCTAGTGCTTCACCACCCTCCTAGTGAAAAAGTTTTTCCTAATATACAGTGTCATACTGGGAGCTCATGTTGGCTGATTATCCACCATGACCCCCAAATCTTTTTTCAGAGTCCCTGCTTCTCAGGGTAGAGTCCCCCATCCTGTACGTATGGCCTGCATGCTTTTCCCAGGGATATGACTTTACCTTTGGCCATATTAAAATGTACATTGTTTCTTTCATCCATTTTACCAAGTAACCCAGTCCGCTCTCTATCAGTGACCCGTCCTCTTCATTGCTTACCACTCCCCCAGTGTTTGTGTCACCTCCAAACTTTGTGAGTGAGGATGTTATGTTTTCTTCCAGGTCACTGATAAAATTGTTAAATAGTGTAGGGCCAAGAACCGATCCTGCAGGACCCCACAGGAAACAGATATGATTGGTGACAATTCCCCATTTACAATTACATTCTGAGACCTGGTGGAGGAGGTAGTATCTTTTATTGGACCAACCTCTGTTGGGGAAAGAGACAAGCTTTCAAGGCACATGGAGCTCTTCTTCAGGGCTTCCCTCCAACCTTCTGTTATTAATTATGACAGCCCTGGATATTCATGTTAACCATATAAATGCCTAAATTCTTGTTCTCAATTTCCTGTGGCAGTGAGTTCCGCAGTCTAATTATACGTTGGCTGGAAAAATGGTTCTTTTCCCACCTTTTTAATCTCATTGAATGTCTATTTGTTCTTGTGTTAGGAAACAAGGAGGACACTGGAAAGGAGCTAACTACACCTTTAAGGGACAGGCAGGAGGCTACAGCTGGGACAGCCTGGGGTGTAATCAAGGAGGCCGTGCCCCACCCTAGGCCTGGGCTTCATAAAGAGGAAGAGGGAGCTGGAGGAGAGCAGAAGCCATGTAGGCTGTAGCAGGCTCTTTCAAGCTCTAGAGACCAACCTGAGACT